TAGGTTGTTGACTCTAATATGTTTTTCTATAAATGCTTTTTATATTTTGACTCTTGCATTCTTCTCAATAGCAAAAGTTGATATTCATAGCTATCAACAACTTGGATCACCTAACTGATTTGCATTTCACTTATTCATAAAAAGGACAAATTCATATTTATAGCACACTGTGTGCAGAGATGGGTATTTCCTCTCTCAAATGTGTGAGATTTTCTGTGTAAAATGGTAAACCTTTTTAAAATTTTTTTATCTGCAAATTTGAGAAACAAATCTCCAAAACACTTTAGATTGGAAGTATAAAACATTGTCTTAACACATGACATTTTGTTAACTTACTTTGTTTTCTGAACATCTATAAGAATTACAGTTAACTATAATCTCTTGAAAACCTTCTTTAGCAACAATCATCAAAGGAAATGCTGTATAAAAAGGTATATTGTTAGAGCTAGAAGCATAATTACTGAGTCATTTGTGACAAGGAAATATATTAACAACATCTAAAAGAAAATAAAACATTTTTGTTTTTAAATATTTGAATTGCTGATAGCTTAATTGAATTGCTTGTGTGTGTATGTGTTTGTTCATATGTGTGTATGTATGAGTATATATGTGTTTGTTCATGTGTGTGTGTATGTATAGTTTCTTCGTGTGTGTGTGTGTGGATTTGTAACCACATACATATAATCAGGATCAAATGATAGAACTTGTTCTCACAGAAGTTGGATGTATTACAGTGGTAAAGAGAAATGGACAACAAGCATTTTCATGGATGGTTGTGCATGCCTATAATCCTAGTACTTAAGAGGCAGAGGCAGGGAGATCTCTTATGAGTTAAAGGTCAGCCTGCTCTACAAGAACTAGTTCTAGGACAGGCTCCAGAGCTAAGAGAAATATTGTCTTGAAAAACAAAAACAAAATAAAAAAGAGGAAAAAGAAAAATAATGTATGGTGAGGGTAAAAATAACTGCATTCCAGAGTCAATTGACAATTTCTGTCAATAACTCAAAGTGCATACCAATGTATACCCACTCCAACAAAGCCACACCAAGTAATAGTGTCACTTCCTGTGAGATTACATGGGCCAATCACATTCAAACTACCGCATTCCACTCCCTGGCCACCATAAAGTTGTAATAATACAAAATACATATAGTCCAACTTCAAAAGTTCCCACAGTCTATCACAGTCTCAATAATGTTTCAAAGTTCAACCTCTTCTGGGATTCTTGCAATCCCTTAACTGTAATCCCCTATAAAATAAATATCAAAGAAAAAATATTTCCAACATACATAAAATACAGGAAATGTATTACCATTCCAAAATGTAGGGAAGAGGGAATAGTGAAGAAGTACTGTACCAACGTAAGACTGAAAACCAGCCGGCAAACTCCAACTCTGTGTGTGATGTTTAAATGCTCTTCAGATATTCAGATATGTTCAGCTTTGTTGACTACAACACACGTCTTTCTTTTGGACTGGTTCCATGCCCTGTTAGCAGCACTCCTCGGCAGGTATACCACAAGTCTGGCATCACTAACATCTTGCGTTCTCCAAGGCAATCCTGGATTTAACTTCACAGCTTCAGCCAATGGCCTTTCTACATGGCCTCCAACCACAGACACCCTTGACACATGCCAGACCTCAGTGGCTTACTTGACATCTAAGCAAATTCCATAACTCATTTCTTCTATCTTAAATTCTAAAACCAGAATCAATTGGCCAAAGCTGCCAACTATTACTTCTTACTGGGGCTGGAACTATCTCCCTCATTCAAGTACATCTTCATCAGTTTTCTGTCCTTTACACTGCCTAAGCTTAGCTGTCCTGAAACTTGCTCTGTAGACCAGACTGTGCTCAAACTCAGAGATCCGTCAGCCTCTACCTTCCAAGTACTGCTATGTAAGGTATGCCCCACAATACCTAGCTCTAAGTCTTGCTTTTCACAGGTTGAAAACTTATCTGGGTAGGATCTTGCTTTGAGGTCAGGACTCCCCTTATCCCATTTCCTTATTTGTTGATCTCTTTGAACACAGGACTTTGCTCCATTACACTTGCTACTGCTCTTATTTTCCTTAAAATGTTCATTTTGTAATTTACCTTGCTCATCTTGCTCCTTTTCCTTATAAATTTTCATTAGCATTACCAAAAATATCCACAGGACAGAGTCTATAATGGGCCATTTTGAGATTTTTTTTTTCTGTCAATGGGTTTATTCTATACTTCTGCTCTTTAGCCTCAGGCAAACTCTTCTGACAAGGTCAAAAGGCAACTAGTTCTTCGCCAAAATATCACAAGAATGACCTCTAGGAAGCATACTAAATTCTCCTCTGAAACCACTTAAATAAGCCCATCATAGTTCAAATAACTCTTAGCACCTCTGTCTTCCATACTCCTATTACTATCATCCAGTTCCCAATGCTTAAAGCATTTCACTCTCTCCAGAACCAATTCCCCCAAACAAGCGCAAGGTCTGTCTATCTCAACAATATTCCACATATTGCCTAATTACATTCAAACTACCACATCCTGTGAACAACCTAGGGTTGACCATCTGTCTAGTTTTGCAGCTGTTCAGTCCCAAAGAAATACACAAAAGCTTATATTAAGTATAAACTGTCTGGCTTGATAGTTAGGTTTATTATTAACCAGCTATTCCAACTTAAATTAACCCATAATTCTTATTTATGTTTAGCCACATGTCTTGGTATATTTTCTCAGTAAGGCATTCTCATCTTGCTTCCTCTGCATCTGGCTTGTGACTGTGTCTCTGCCTTTCCTCTTCCCAGAATTCTTTTAGTCTGGTTGCCTTGCCTATACTTGATGCCTGGCATTTTATTAAATCAACATGAGTGACAAATCTTTACAGTGTACAAAAGCATTATCCCACAGCAGCCTCCCTATTTTCCTTTCTAAACAAGGCCTGGAATCTTGTCTCCTTTGTTTAGCTTTTTTTTTTTTTTCTGACCACTGTCTATAACAACCTAGTCCTTGTTATCTATTTCCATCATTAGGACTTTCTTCAACTCTTTAAGATTAAAGGTGAATCATCCTCCTCAAAAGATATAGATTAAAGGTTGGTCTTCCCACTTCAAATTTTTAATTAAGAAAAATTTCTCACAGATGTACCCAGCCAATTGGATTTTAGTTAATTTTAGATGTAGCTGACAACGCACATATGCACTATCATTTAATATGAATACAACATGTCTATTATGTATATCAAGGAAATTTTCTTTCTGTTATCCTACTGAGGCTCTGCCTGCTTGCTTTATGTTATCAGTTTACTTAGTTGTTTTAGATTATCTTGAATAAGATTGTATTTGAAACACATCTGGAAACTATCAAGCTCATGACGAGTTTTCAATCACTTTTCCATTTTTTGATCTAATCTAGAAAGTAACTGTTCTTTACTATATATATATATATATATATATATATATATATCACATATTCATATCACATCAATGATAGAAACCTAATAGCTGCTACTCACATTTTAAAACATGCTTTCCATCTTGAAAAAAAAAACCACTTCTTTCTTCCAATTAACCTACTAGATTCTCTGTTAAATTCTGCCAGGTTTATTTAAGGTTTTGAGGGGTTGGTTAGGCATGGTTTTCGTTTCTAAACATTTTTTTTTCTTTCAGATGAACACACGCTTCATTTCAGAAACAGCCTGTGAAACCATCTCTAATTATCATGTTTCACATTTTCTATGAATGGCCTCATTTTTATCTTTCTGAAATCTCAAAACAGGTGCAGAGCGTATGTACATCTCATTTAATACAAATACACTACCTCAATCATACCATGTTTTCAGGAAATTTTCTCTCTTTAGCCTGCTGGTGTTCTGCTCACATGCTTGCTTCTTGCTCTCAGTTTGCTTAGTTGTCTTAGGAAAATTATATTGATTAGAATGTTATTTGAAAGACACCTGGAAACTGTTAAGCTCATGATGGGTTTTCAATCACATTTCCAATTATTTTGATTTAATCTAGAAAGTTACTGCACATTAAGTCATGTTCATTTTATAAGATGAAAAGATTCATAATAAATATTTATTGGGTTTTAATAATATCCCAATCTTATTTATTTTTAACATTTATATTAATTTTAATTCTTTCTGATGTATAAAAGACACATTTTATTATGTTCTACAGTTTTGCTTAAATGTTCTAATCAAACTCCATTTAAGAACTTCGTTACTCTCCAGACTTTACTCATTTTCTGGTATTGAACTCTGAATTATTCTATGTTATTGGATACATGCTGTACTAGGCTATGTTATTTCTGATACAATAACAAAATAAAATGAATATTTTGTGTAATATTTTTCTATCTATTTTGATTTCCCACATGCATTACCTCTTTAAAAGATGTTATAATATTATAGCTACATAGATAACATTATAACTTCACATTTCAAGTGAATCGTTGATGATAAGCAATTTAATAAAATATATGGCACCATTTAATTTACTCACAGTGTTATTGAGTAGTGTAAGGAAAGAACTCTAAGTTGTGATCAGAGTACAAAAGCTACTGTGTAAGGCAAGTTTAACGTTGAAACTGATATGTTATCATCTTTATTGGATGACTACTATTGGAACAATTACTGTGAGGTAGCACATTACTCCTAAAAATATTTTCAGGTGTCATTTTTTTTTTGGAATTTTCAATAAAATCTGAAATTATTATTTTACATAAATACATAAATTTCATTTAAGAATTCATTATCTAATATAGTTTCTTGCCTGGGACCATAAGGTTTGGTACATGCTCATAACCTGAGTGTGACTTGACAAATCACCATTTCATCCAGGCACCTCTCGCCACTGCTGGTCAACACCTTGCCAATGGGGACCACTGTGTCTGTGTTTGATACCAAATGAGTGTTTTATTCCCTTTCCAGCGGGAATCTTGTCTTCCCTGAGAACCTCTATATCATCAAGTTAAGATTCTATTTTGGCTAATGATTAAGTTTTCTATTTCACTGTACAGGTCCAAAGTGGTACCCTTCCCGAGTTGGCCTGCAACTAGAATATGGTAAGACCTGTTTCAACCAGTCAATTTATGTAGTTTAGAATCTGTCTTCTGACCTCACATTCATTACGTAGTCTATGCATGTAAATACCATACCATTTGAGTCTAATATTCCACTGCTTCTCCACTCTTCTTTGAGCATTATTTTTAATTCTTATTTTGATTCCATAAATAGAATTCTATGATAAAAAAGGAAAAATAATGAAATTGAAGAAAATGCAACATCCACTAATAAATGTTACATTAGCAGAATTTTAACAGATAAGTATATTTATGTGTTCCACCTAAGAACCAGTATTATTGATATTGCATCTACTGGATCTCACATGTAAAGCTTTCTGTTTATTGGCATATAAAGTATGTTAAATAAACATGTATCTTTTATCCTTATCTGTGCTACTGTGTTTCAGAGTGTTCTGGTTGGTGCACTGGAATTTCTTTGAATGGCACTGAAATGACATACTGAAAAGCTGAAACATGAGCAAAAAGGACTTTGATTTTCATAATTACCAAGAAAAGCATAGTGCACACCCTTCATATAATATCTATGGCAAACACCTAGATGTAGGAAATGTCCCTGAATCTACCCCATTGTTCAAAACAATTATCTGAAGACCTGCTTGTGTTGAGTTTGCTTGAGCAAATATANATAATGGGTTTAAATGGACAAAACATTATCCACAGGGATGGCAGGTGCTTTATCTATACTTGTTCACTATCTCTATGTTTTTCAGAATTTCTCTTCCTTGACATAAAGAAATTTTCTGAGAAGCTAATGGATATGTCTCCTGATTCCTTAGTATTAGAGTGGAATGAGTGACTAGGGCTGGGAAAATGGGTCAATAAATAAAGAGATTGTTTGCAAATTTGTATCCTCAGCAACTGGAGTAATAGCCAGATTGAGGGCATTTGCCTATATTTCAGGAACTGGTTGAGTGTGATAATGTCAGGACCATCCTTGGAGTTTGAAGGCCAGCTAGAATTAAGAAGAGAAATGGAAAAATGGAAGGAAATACTGAGGCCAATTTCTGTCTTCCAACCACACATGCACAGGAGGATGTACATAAACATCTCTCTTACACACACAAACATACACAGAGGTTGTTATGATTTATGATGCATCTGTTTTTTTTTCTTTTCAAAATTTCATATTGTTTGAAATGTATTAAACGACTAAAAAATTCAGAGTGCTGCTATTTGAAGTTTTTAAAGATAATAGCAGAATATAAATTGATTCCCATGCTAAAGAACCCAATAAGTGTCTGTCAGAAAGTTTTCAGCATATTTTCAAAGATATAAAAGATCCTAATTTTTATTTTACAGATATTCTAGGATCTTATGCATTACTGTCATACTAGTATTGACCATTTTGATTGCAAATTGTTTATAATGCCAAATTCACTCTCTGTAGTTATATAATGTTAGCAAAAATGATGCTTAGAGCAACTTCCCTTTACACTCACATACACATACAATACACACACACACACACACACACACACACACACACACTCATTCACTCACACAAAAACACCTATTCCCTAGATTATCTACTTAAGACACACTAAAGCTGGAGCCAAGTGGTTGTTGGGTTGAATTTTCATGGGAAAGTTCTCATGTCAGCTCCCTTCCATCTTTTCATGAAATCTAAAGACAGTCTATATTTTTCACTGAAACCTTTTTGAAAACTTTGTGGGTGAGGAAAGTTAGTACACAAATTATTCAAATTGAATGATGCATGTCTTATAATGTTCATATTTGTTATGTCATGACTGCATAGTTCAAGTCCCAAGTAGTCATCAGTTTTGTATTAAGAAATTCTTTGTCACTGTACCATGAAATTATATTTAAATACCACTTTCTCATTGATTTATTTTAGGTGGCCCCTTTTTGAAGGACTATGTCACGATTCAAAGTGTTGCAGCTTCCTCAATTATCACACTCTATTTTACAGACTTAGGTCGACAAGTCAGTTGGACCACAGTAAGTGTCAATTGTAGTTTATTATATATGCCCTGTTTTATTAATTTCATGTTCATATTTAATGTCTTTTCCTTGTAGTAATAGGAATTCGACTACAGTTCTAGTGAAATCTTTGGCCAAGGTTTTATTGAAGCACTAGTCATTAGTAGTTAAAGAAAGGAAATAAACATGGTTTTTATGTGAATTCAGCTTTTAAAAAAGAATCTATCTGTATATTTTATGCTTTGTCCAATGAGTGATATTGCTTCAACTTTGCCTTTTCCAGAAGCCTAGATATTTCAAGGATATTCTTCTCAATGAAATTAGAAACTGTAGATAGAATAGTTAAAATAAAGGCAGTCCTAATACAAAAAATGCCAATAATGAAGAAGTAAGACTTCGTTAGGCTTATGGATAGTTCCTTAGGCTTCTTTCTCCTCACCCCATCTTTCAGAACAATTGTAGTTCTCAAAATTGATTCATCTGAATTTAATGATATGGAAACAAGAAGGCTACATTAAGGAAATGAAGGTGAAAGTTCTTGAATCAACTTCAAGAGGTTGAGTTACTTATGATTGACGCAATCGAATAATAGAAAAGTTTCAGCAGCAAGGGTAAACTCTATAGGTCTTTTAGTGAAAAAAAAAATCCAGTATGGTAAGTAATTCTTGCTAGGATCTACAGAGAATGTGGCCTTCTCTGTCTTCACTTTCTTTTCTCAATAGACATATTTTTGGCATACTTTACAAAAAAGGAACACTTGTGTTTTGAAATATAATATGATCTATATTTATAATGTGTTTATTTCAGCATTTTCATTTAAATTGACTTTGTTTCAATGGTACTAAAATCAAATTTAATCATGCATTAAGTTTTAAATACTTGCTTTATATTATCAATTTAAAAATTATTAAATATGGATAGTAGAGATATTGTCCAGCACATATGCACAGGCTACAGGTTCAATTCTCAGCACCAACCTCACTTTTCATAGTTCTCTGTCCAATAACCTCTCCCGGCTTGCACAGGCACTCATGTCCACATTGCATAAACATGCACATGGACACAGCACATGAATACATAAATAAACAAATTAATATTTAAAAATAATAAATATGCATGTTCATTTATATATTAAAAGTTTTCTATGGGACAGAAATTCATATTTATACTTATTAATAAAATACTGTCATATTTGTTACCTTTCCAATTTAATCTTATGATATATTTTCCTTCTGAATTATGTAACAAATTCTTCTATAGTAGAGTTATGTGTTGGTATGAAAAAGTAGTTTTAGTTAGCACTGTGGATCCATTGAATACTAAAATGTTAGACTAATATTAAATTTAAAATAATATTAATTCTTGTAAAACATAGGAATGTTAAGGTAAAACTGATGATGGGTATGTTTTTAAAAAAAACATTTAATACTTAATATGAAGCTTAAGAGTACTTTGTTAAAGATAGTACAGATAGGAATATCTTATTTGCAACGATTCAAAAATTGTAAAATCCTTTGAGCAAACCTGATGAAAAATAATTTTGTTTGCAAGGATTGTGTCAAGATGAGAGGCATTAGCCAAGAGCTCATTAGAAACTTCTAGTTGCATGAATGGAATAAGCAATGAAGAGAAGAACTACAGTAGAATTTTTTGATAACTGCACTAGAAAATTATACCTTGTTTGAGAGGAAAGTCATCTAAGTGACCAACGAAGCTCCAGAAATAGCCTAGATATTTGAAAATCAGTCCTACGGCTCAATTTTTTTTTTCCTCTAAATGGGTCAGTTTTATAAAATGCTGAAACTGTGCATTGCAATCACACCATTTTGTATCCACTAAGCTGTACAATCAAACTATTTTACCACACAATACCCTTATATATATTTATAAACTATTAAAATGTTTACCTAGAATAAGCCATTTTGAGTCAATAGAAACTGTTAGATGTCACAAAATCAAATAATGTTTTGAATAGCATTTTTTAAGTATTGGTGGTCAACAAATAATGAAATATGTCTTCATTACTAAATGACTTAGACAAATGGCTAAAATATTAAGACATTTCTCACTACACAAACACTGTAATCTAATTATAGTTGAACTCATTATTTTACATTCATCTGTGTGTTCAAGTATTTATAGCACTAAGTTTCATATCTCTGTGATAGTACTTCTGAGTAGTCAGCTGTTTCCTTATTGTAAGGGGGCTTATATCTCTTCCTCTTATTTTTATACATAGAGAATGCTTTATTGGTGGGACAAATAGGATTGGGAAAAACATTTATTGTTCTCTAAGTCTTGCTCCTGTGGGACTGACCCTGTTTGTTCCATTATGAATTCTAGCTTTCTTTTAATTATTATCAATTCATTTTACAGATCTGTAGTGGGTTTCCTTTGAAATAGAGTTCAATCATTTTCAATTATTCGCTATTATGTGTCATTATCTGTGTACATAATTATTTAACTATATTGGACACCCATAAAATTTTGATGCTATGTATAAAATCTTCATACAGTTCCTTCCTAAGTCAATGATTTGAAATTAATTTCTCCTCAACGTTGTTTTAGCTTTCACCATGCAAATAGTTTTCGGTTTGAGTGCAGTGGGATTTAACGACATTGTCTTAGTGACATGTTTGCAGCACTGTATTTTCACTCCTCTTATCCCAGATTCATAGGGCTTTACATCTTTTCTTTTTAGCACTTTGTGTTGTGATTCTCTATGCACATTTCATTTGTTTTTATTTAAATACTTATAACCTTTTCATCATCAAACTTACTGTAGTCTTTTAATATTTATTTCAGTTTTATAGGCATCTTTTGTTTTTTTTTTTATTGTCTCAATTAGTATTGAACTTTTCTAGTAGTTCAATATTATCTTTGCATTTTTATCTTATTTTAGTTGACCAATTCTGGTAACCAGAATTTTGTAGTTTATACTCTTTAAAATGTCACATAATTATATATTTAGTTTAATGTTACTTACATAAAGTTACCTTAAGAATTATTTATTTATCTGCTAATTAATCTTGTTTTTACTTGTCATCTGTTGTTTTAACAGTCTAAATGTTTTTAAGTCAGAGTATGCTGCTATAATAGTATATGCCCAAAATGTATTCTGATGAGCCTATTTTCCATATAGCTGAATTCTTTTGGTGTACAGATTACATTTGGTACCATTAACCCCCACAAAAAAGCAGTACACTGCTTTATTCAACCCAATACCTTGAGGAATCACCACAATTTTTGTCATCTTAAATAAAAGTATGTGACTTTTATTCCCTGTAATATGTCATAGAATGTCAATATACATTTACTTCATAAAATTTCATATCTTCATTTAGGTCTTGATTATTTCTGCAAAATATCAGCTTTTTATGTTAATAATAATAGGTTTGATCATTGGGTTGTCCAGTTTTATTTTGACATCAACAGTTTGATTTTAGTATCTATAATTATGCTTCTGCATAGTTTATTATTGATATACTGCATTAATTGAGCATGTTTTTAAAACTTTATAAAAATATACATATATTTTTATTTCTTCATCAGTGGCTTCTCTGTCATCCTTCTAGGTTTCTATTTTTTTACTTTCTTGAACTCGATATTTTCCAATACCTAAATTGTCTATCTTTCCTTTTATTTCCTTGGACACACAGATAGATATTCTTAAGCATAAGTGTGTCAATCCTGTTATTTGTACCTTTAGTAGATTCATGTTTTATAATTTGTTCTTACTCTTGATATGAATCGCAACATCCCCATTTTAATGCATATAGATTTTACGTAAAATATTAATGATTTCTAGATATTTAGATGAAATTAATGTTGAAGACAATTTATCTCATTTAAGATGCATAATGGTACTAATGACCTTGAGAAATCTTGTTGAGATTTATGACTGAAATAATTTCATGTTGAGATTTATTATTCATGGAGACTTTTTAGAAACAGCCTTCATCCTTGACAGATAACATCTATGGGTTATAAACTTTCCTTTCCAAAACATGTAGAAAAACAATGTGTTCTTCTTCTTCAAAAACATCATAGCCAGGATCAGTCACTTCTCCAAAGTCCATTTTTACAGACAATAATAAGAAATTAAGTTTTCAGCAACTCAGTAGCTTCTGATTTCTGGAAACATTTTAAAATAGTGTTTTGGTTTTTTTCCCTTTTAACTCATTGTTATACTTTGTTTGAGTTACTTAGTACATCTGAAAGATTTACATAGTTCATATCATTCATATAATAGTTAGACTAAAACAAATAATTCCATTTTTCCTTACATAATATTATCATCAGTGATAGTCACTAGTGCAAATTGATACTACTTTTAAGAGAATACAGTTTTTAATGCACAGCTCTCCTTTGTTTCACAGTTGTTTAAAACCACTGAGGTTTTTTTTTTTTGTGAATTTTCAACATTTCTGAAATATGCTGCTTAATTTGGTTTCAGGTGTAAAATAGACATAAATAAGAATGCAAACTACCAACATCATCATACTAAGAATGCCTAAGACAATTTCCAAGAAATCTTAAGTTCATTGAGAAAAAGTTAAGTGTAGAAAAGCTACTCAATATATAACCACGTTTTTTTTTTTTGTTATTCTTATTGAAAGGTGGTTTTGTCTCTTCATTGTAAATCAGGTGGTCTTGCATACCTGCTGGTGCTTGACTTACACATTCAATTATGCACCAGTCTTCTTCTCTATAATAAGACTTGCCATAGCTGATCACCGACATCTTTAACACAAACAAATCTGATTCTTTTGGTTGTCCAAGTGTATAGGACACAAGAATTCCTACACCATTTAGATTGTATCACCTGATATAAATAATGCAGGTGTTAGTTTACAGTGTATGGAAGATATGCAATTTTATGCAGCTACTAAGCCATTTTATGTAAGGAATTTGGCTATGCAAATTTTGGTACCATGGGACCATAGAATTGTTTTTCTAAAGATATCAAATGTAAACAACTCCAAACTCCCAAGAGCCTCCATTGTCTAGTTAAATTA